TTTGTTCTATTAGGTTAAGCATGAAAAGCAATTTTTATAAATAAAATAAAATCTATTAATAAATAGAACGATATATATATATATATAGCTTTTGAATCTAATTTAAATTCGAGCTGTGTTGAAAATCTCCTTGTGCCTAGATGTTGCTGATTGTCTAAATTAGTAAACCGATATAAATATCTATAGATAAATATATATACTCATGTGTTCATTTTCAGAAGCACGCTCAGTTGAAAAGCCTTGGTCTATTTACATGTTTTTACGTATAAACTCGTCTTAGTCCCTATGATAAGTTGGTAACGTACCCGGTACAGATGCACGTCTGACCGTTTCACAAATTCAAGTGATTGGTGTGATTGCACGTATCATACAAGCGGTAGCGCAGCAGCTCTACATGCTTTATTTACTTTTCCTGACGCAGCGTACAATTATCCACCATCACGTCTCTCATCATGGCTCTGTATTGCTCTGCACCGGCGTGTCCGTTTGCATGAGTCACCCTCCTTCTCTCCCTCTCTCGTGTCGCTATCTGGACTGGCCCTGCCGGCCACGTTGTGCCAGGCCGTCCTACCCACGCCGTGTTTTTGAAGAAGTTGGCCTAGCTGTTGTCTGTCTCTGCTTGTCCTTGTTGCCTCTGCTACACCAAGCCATCCAGCTCCGCTGTTCACTTGCTGCTTTCAAATCAAGTTCTCTGTTCTTGCTGTGTAACCGAGCATCGTTGCTGTATCGGCCGGTCCTTTTCTAATTTGCCGACCGGACCGCGTGCTCGGGTGAGCTCGCTCAGGTCTCCTTGTCTTTTTCTCTGCGGCGCCATGAATGCCTCCACGGCTACATGAACGTCACTTACCGCCGAAAGATCTTTGAATCTAGTTTTTATTTGGAGCTAAGAAAAAATCAAACACAATCTATTTGGAGAATGCCACGACTGATGGTAAGTATCATTGGAAAGATTTTTGAATCTAGTTTTTAATAAATTTATTTAGAGATATAAATATTGTATGTATTTTTTAAAAATCGAGTCAAACTTACGGTACCGAAATCAAAAGCCACATATAATTTGCGATAGAGGACCAGGTCACAACCCGTGTCACGTTGTTTTTTTGCTTATTCACGTTGTACTTGGGCCTGCTTTTCCGGCAACGGCAGGCTCTCAATAATTCATCTCGACCGGCCGCTGGACGGTGCATGTGTACGTACTAGCACTGCCTTTCCAGTCGTGCTTATAGCATTTCAACCCGTGAATGCACGGAAGCTAGCGGCAGGCTCCATAGTTCGCTCTTAGCTGTGTGCTACAGTATTACTAGGCCACTAGCATAACTGTTCGTTGCTCTTAGCTCTGCAGGCTTCGTTTACTTTTCCGGCGTGGCGTACAGTGTATTCGTGGTATCTACCATCACGTCCCTAGTCGTGGCTCTGCATTGCTCTAGACCTGACGTGTCCGTTTGCCTGAGTCACCGTCCTTCTCTCCCTCTCTAGCGTCGCTATCTGGCCTGGCCCTGCCGGCCACGTTGTGCCAGGCCGTCCTGCCCACAACGTGTTTTTGAAGAAGTTGGCCGAGTTTTTGAAGAAGTTGGCCGAGCTGTTGTCTGTCTCTATTTGTCCTTGTCGCCTCCGCTACCACCAAGCCGTCCATCTCCGCTGTTCACTTTGCTCTCAAATCAAGTTCTTTGTTCTTACCGTGTAGCCGAGCATCGTTGCTGTATCGGCCAGTCCTTTTCTGATTCGCCGACCGGACCACGTGCTCGGGCGAGCTCGCTCAGGTCTCCTTGTCTTTTTCTCTGCGGCGCCATGAATGCCTCTGCGGCCACATGAACGTCACCTACCGCCGAAAGATTTTGAATCTAGTTTTTATTTGAAGATGCTAAGAAAAAATCAAACACAACCTATTTGGAGAATGCCACGACTGATGGTAGTTATTATTGGAAAGATTTTTTAATCAATTTTTTAATAAATTTATTTAGAGATACAAATGTTGCATGTATTTTTTAAAATTCGAGTCAAACTTACGGTACGAAAACTAAAAGCGATGTATAATTTGTGACAGAAGACTAGCTAGGTCACAACCCGTGTCACGTTGTATTTTTGCTTATTCACGTTGTACTTGGGCCTGCTTTTCCGGCAACGGCAGGCTCTCAATAATTCATCTCGACCGGCCGCTGGACGGTGCATGTGTACGTACTAGCACAGCCTTTCCAGTCGTGCATGTAGCATTTCAACCCGTGAATGCACGGAAGCTAGCGGCAGGCTCCATAGTTCGCTCTTAGCTGTGTGCTACAGTATTGCTAGGCCACCTAGCGTAAATATTCATTTCTCTTATAATCTATATTTTTTAGCTCGTTTTTTTAACTAAAATATTATTTTTCTTTCATAACAAATCAGTCAACACATTTTGAGCCACCATGACTTATCAGCCAAGTGGACGGACCGTTGAACACAGATGGGCACAAAGGAGCAGAGAGCCAAAAGCAGCGAGCAGGCCTAGGACTAGCCAGCGCCAGCGCCAGCGCGCTTCAATACTCCTCATCCACCTTTTATATATCCTGTAGTACTTGATTTTCTTTTTTTTTGACCCGATATGGCCTTTTGTTATAGTTTGACTATAAAAAAATTATAAATTATCTTTTGTATACATTGTTCTTTTAAGAGGTAAATACATCGTAGGCTCTTGAACTTATCTTTGGGTGCCACTTAGATCCACAAACTCTCTAATCGTACTTCTGGTACCATAATATTATTTAAGTATGCTACTTAGGTTCATAACTCATCAGACCAAGACTGTGGCCGATGTGAGGTGAACAAAACGCACGTGAGCCATACGTCAACCAGTTTGGAGCGTGCAAATAAGCAGAGAGGCCACGAGCTCTCCGGCCAGCCTCAGTGGGTCTCCTATCATTTTGTTCGCCGGCCGGGCGCGCTGGCGGGGGGTGTGGTTTTATATATTTGAGCGTGGGCCAGGGCCGGCCGTCCCCGGTGGCAAACTAGGACATTCCGGCCCGTGACCCCGTGGCGCGGACGTAGTCGCTGACGTCGCGCGGAGAGGTCTCTTTACTCCTGGCTCCTGCCCGCCCCACCCGGGTTCGTTATTAGCGGCTCTGCACGTGGCGACATCGTACATTGCGTTGCCGTCCGTCCTCTCGTGCGCGCGTCGGCCGCCTTGGCGCTTGCTTTTGCTCCATCGGCGGCGGGGATGAAACGTACGTGTACCCGCGCGTGCAAGTGTATCGAGCCTCAGACCTCAGCGGCTCAGCCGTCCCTGCATATCGTCGCTGTCGTCCACGTGTCAACACTGAACAGGAACCGGGCGATTGTGCAATGCAGGTGGCGCCGCCCCCGGTCTCTTCCAGAGACAGACAGGAAGCCAGCTCGGTCGGGCGTTTCTAGTCCACTCCTCGCTGTTGTTTCTTTCTGATCGAGACAAAAAACGTGACTTCACTCGTGACTTAAACAGCAGCAAAAATCCCAATTTGTACTCTAAGCTAGTACTACAGTACTACTACTACTTCGTTTTTACTTGCATCTGATACCAGATTGATGGTTCGTTTACATTAGTGTATAGCTCCATCAGACACAGTAAAAACGCATGTCGTCGTCTATCACGATGTTTTATCCCCGATCGATCGAATGACCTCGGTCACTCGTGTATAGTTACATCAGACAGCAACGTAACAGCGCGCGTCTCTCTGCACGCGAATCTGCTTATTCATTCACCAGCTAGATTATTTCCCACCGTACCGGCCCTCGGCGTGCGTGCTACGATAACAACAATGCATGTGCTGTCGCCGTCGTCGCTTGAGGGAGGCCTTATTACGTCACGCGGCGTACGGCCTGACGTCGTCGGGAGAGGCGGCCGGAGCTATCCGCCGCGGAGGAAGCCGGCGTACCAGCGCGCGGAGCTCCGCACGTAGCGCGTGCGCGCCCCGGCGTTCATGTCGACGCCGCACAGGCCGAAGCGCATCCTGTAGGCGAAGATGAACTCGAACACGTCCAGGAACGACCACACGAAGCAGCCCCGCGCGTCCGACCCGTTCCTGCGTACGTATGCATGCATGCATCCACATCACGGCCAAATTCATTCGGGAACGTCCTTAGAATCGAAATGAATCAACAAGGCAGAATATAATGCACTGGGGGCTCTTTGCTTATTTGCACGCCCTGAATCAGGCTCACGTGTGGCTCACGGTACGCTCTGTTCATGCCATGTCAGCCAAAACCTTGTTCCGATGAGTTATGGACCTAAATGGCATACTTAAACAATATTAAGGTGCCAGAAGAACGATTAGAGAGTTTGTGAATCTAAGTGGCACCCGAAGAGAAGTTCAAAGGCCTACGATACATTTACCTCTTCTTTTAATTATACCCTTTCTTTGCAGGTCTCATAGGTTTCCTTCTCAGTTTAACCTTATGGATTTTGTAGCCTAAGTCAACATGTGGACATAAGTCGTTGCATGTCATTGGAATAAAACAGCCTATATATGCCTTTCTCAATCTTTCAACACAGAAGTATTCATGGACAAAGTCATTCATTTGTACCTCTCTACTAATTAAGCTTTGCACTGAAAGCTAGATCAGGGCTCCGAGGTTTCCTGACGTGACTAAAATGGCTAGTTCATAAAAATTTAGTTTGAGACGTACTTTTTATAAAATTTTAGTTTTTTTTGGGCTAAAATAAAAAAATCTCCCCTCCACTCCCCTCCTATAAGAAGGCCTCCATCCTCATACCATGCAGATAGCCGTGGGAAGGAAACCCAAGCAACAAACTTTGCATTGTGGCCTGTTCTTGCCAGGAGAGAAAAGATGAGGCCTCAGGTCATACTCGTTGCTCTGGCTGTTCTCGGCGTCCTTGCAGCTCTGCCGCTCGGCAAAGGTGACGAGTCATAACAATCCTTTTGCATGCATGCTCTCTAGATTTTCGCTAGGATAATCACTTGTTATACGACGTTGATGCATGCACACACTACTGTGGAAAATTTGACTCAACTTGCTGTTATTGGTGGCTACAGGGAACAAGGAGGAAGCTGGAGCAGCCGTCGCCGCGGACGCCGCCGGCACGAGATCGTGGCCGTGCTGCGACGACTGCCGTCTTTGCAACAGGAAGAACCCGCCGGACTGCCAATGCAACGACATTTCGCTGCACGGGTGCCGCCCGGAGTGCAAGAAGTGCGTCAGGTACACGCTCACCGCCGACGACGATGGCATCCAGATGCCGGCCACCTCCGCCGGCCCCGGCCCCGTCCGCACCTACCGGTGCGCGGACGTGCTCACAAACTTCTGCGAGCGCCGCTGCACGCCGGCGTCGGCTGCGGCGTTCCTGGGTGAGGCCTTCTGATCGGACCGGACGCCGGCCTTCTGCTGCACGCATGCCAAGTCGAGTTTGCTTCTCTCGAGCTTTGTCAGTTAAAAACTAAACAAATGACGCCGCTCGGCTCGATGCTTGCTCTTGCTCGTCGTCAGTGTTGTAGTAGTGTGTTTATGAATAAAGAGCCATGCATGATGCATGCTGTGCTCAACACCCTGTCGTTGGCTGGTTTTCAGTTACCAGCTGTAGTTCGCCTGGTGCTTTTAGTTTGTTCCATTTGATTTGCACCATGTCATGTTGTCGTGTGTTTGCAGTTATCGTTATGAGAGTGGCCTGGTTACCTTGTTGTATTGCCCAGAACTTCTCTTGCGATGTCTTTGCTGTTTACATCAAAATTTGGGAAAAAAAAACGTGGGAACTCGAAGCTTCTAAGATTGTGTCGTCGAAGAATTGATTAGATATGAATCGGTATCAGCTGATTCGGATGCGGTATCAAAATTGGCTATTTTATGGATGACGTCAGCGAACGGCGTTGTCGGTGTTTCGGATGTGTTTCGGACCGGGGGTCCTCAACCAATCAGTGAATTTGAACTGCGTGCCCCTAATCCCGGATGGTGATGCAAACAGACACAAAGTTTATACTGGTTCAGGCAACTGGTGCCCTACGTCCAGTCTGAGAGATCGATCTTGTATTCCTTGCACCGAAGTGCTTGTAGTAGGGGGTTACAAGCTGGGTGAGAGATGGAGCTAGTCTCAGGTCTCGGCGAGAAACGGTGCAGGCTGCTTGAGACGTTACTCCCAGACAGCTTGGGAGAGCGTGTGTTACAGAGTGTCGCTTGCATGTGTGTGAGAGCGTGGTTCTTTCGTATGTTTTTCTCGCCCCCTAGAGCTATCCCTGGCTGCTTCCTTTTATAACCGCACGGAGGGAGCCAAGAGTACACGAGTGAGCTACGCGTGGTGCCTACTGTAGTTCAGTCTTGTAGCAGCATGGTGTTGGGAATGGCGATCGGTACTTGACTGGCGCACCGTGCTGGCCAGGCTTGAGGTTGTTGAGGTCGTGGAGGTCCTTGTTGATGTCTAGTCAGTATGGCCTCCACGGTAGGAGACATGTCGTGCCTTGTGGATTCTTGATTTGGTGGAGTGCCGAGGCCTAGCGGGTGCTGTAGCTGATCGTGCCGAGGCCTGTTTTGCCGAGGCCTCGGAGGTGACCCGTGTATGATGCGGGGGTCTCGGTGGTCAGCGTCGTACTCGGCTCAGGTGGAAAAAGTATGGAGCGGGTGTCCACAGGGCACGGTGATCCCTGCACCGTCAGTAGGGGATGGTAAAAAGGAGATTTGACCGTCGTCCCATCGCCCCTATTGCTGTACCCTGCCAGTCGTGGCTGACGTAGTAGGCGTGACCAGGCGCACTTACACGGATGGGACGGCTCGCCAGAGGGGCGGTTGAGGTGGAGGCAACGAGGATGCGGGACGAGCCCGGCCCTGGCCGAGGCGGAGACGATGAGGATGCGGGACGAGCCCGGCCTCGGCCGAGGCAGAGAAGGAATAGTACGTCCGAGGCCCTGTCGTGGGGTCTCGGACGAGGCGGAGGACGAGCAGTTGGTCTTTCCTGCTGTTTCCGAGACTACAGGGACACGGACTTGACCCTCCACGCCGCTTTGTCCTTGGCGCAGGGGTTAGGTAGCACAGGGTAGTACGGGTGTCAGCAGGGGCACAGTGATGTGCATAGTGGCAGGTAACCCCTGCTGCGCCCGGTCCCCCGTCCCGTCGGTCGTTCTGCCTGTACTGTGCCAACGTGCGGCTGACGTTGCGGGAGTAGTTGGGCGCATTAATTGGACGTGACGTTTTGTCAGAGGAGCTAGTCGGGATGGAGGTGACGAGGTTGTTGCCGAGCCCAGCCTCGGGTGAATCGGAGAATTGGTATCCCGTCCGAGGCCTTGCGGGGCTGGGCCTCGGCGAGAGGGCCTCGGCGGGGCAGAGGGCTTTGGCCTTTCGTCTGAGGCCTTGACGCAAGCCTCGGGCGAATCGGAGAATCTGCCGAGATGTCGTGGTTGTCCTTTGGCTTTGATTTTTGCAAGGCTTAAGCAATATTTTCGGTTCTTGTTCAGGGTACCCCTTCTTGTGGTATCCGACAGTAGCCCCCGAGCCTCGGGGGGAGTGCAGGCACTCTCCCTGAGGTTTTTGACGAGACTTGGCTCACAGCAGCTCCCTTCGGGATTGTGTTTTGTACTTGGTGGTTCTGGTGGGTGCGCGCGAGCGCACCCGCCGGGTGTAGCCCCCGAGGCCCTGGAGGAGTGGGTTTACTCTTCCAGGGCTTTTTTCTTCGTTGAGCAAGGAGTTTTATCGTGTTTGTCGGGCCCATGAATGCGAGTTCAGGTCGCTGGGACTTGGCCTAGTTGCAGGAAGAACCCCCGAGCCTCCGCACGGAGCGAGAGGGCGATCAGTGGTTTCCCTGTCTTTTTTGACGGCCCTCACGCATCTTTTTCGCTCGGAAGGAGGGGTTTGTTTGCCGAGCCCCCTCGAGTGCGAGCCTAGGTCGCTGAGTCTTGGCAAGGTTGCAGGGAGAGCCCCCGAGCCTCCGCACGGAGCGAGATGGCGATCAGGAGTTCCCCTGGCTTTTTATGCGACCCACGCGCATCCTTTTCGTTCGGAAGGAGGGGTTTGTTTGTTGAGCCCCCTCGAGTGCGAGCCTAGGTCGCTGGGTCTTGGCAAGGTTGCAGGGAGTGCCCCCGAGCCTCCGCACGGAGCGAGAGGGTGGTCAGGAGTTCCTCTGACTTTTTATGCGACCCTCGCGCATCCTTTTCGCTCGGAAGGAGGGGTGAAATATGCCAGGCTACCCTTGGTGGGCGCGAGCGGTGACACTTCCGGTGAGCAGCTATTGGGTAAATCCGAGTGAAGGCCCATGCCCCATTCGATAGGGGTCGGCTAGTGGTCTAGAGACGCACTCCGAAAGTACCAAAGGGCTTTCTCTAGTGGGTCCCAAGGCCGTTCGATTGGCCCCGGGGGCTCGGCGCCTCCCTACGGTGGGATCCCATTCGGAGAACTCCCCGCTAGTCTCGGACACAACTTAGGGCATCCTGAGCGATCGCTTGCTCGGGCCTCGACCGTGTACGGGCTTGCCCATAGCTGTCCCTGACTCTGTTGTCCTGGGGGCGGCTGTCGAAACCCTCGGGGTCCAACCTTCGAACCCCTGGACCGTAACGGGCTCGGCGCCCTTTTCGTCACGTTTTTCCGAATATCTGAGTGCGAGCTTGGGTGGCCTTCTTTTGTTTTGGGTGCAGGGAGAGCCCTCGAGCCTCCGCACGGAGCGAGAGGGTGGTCAGGAGTTCCCCTGACTTTTTATGCGACCCTCGCGCATCCTTTTCGTTCGGAAGGAGGGGTTTGTTTGTTGAGCCCCCTCGAGTGCGAGCCTAGGTCACAGGGTTTCAGCAAGGTTGTAGGGAGAGCCCCCGAGCCTCCGCACAGAGCGAGAGGGCGATCAGGAGTTCTCCTGGCTTTTTATGTGACCCTCGCGCATCCTTTTCGTTCAGAAGGAGGGGTTTATTTGCCGAGCCCCCTCGAGTGCGAGCCTAGGTCGCTGGGTCTTGGCAAGGTTGCAGGGAGAGCCCCCGAGCCTCCGCATGGAGTGAGAGGCCGGTCAGGAGTTCCCCTGGATTTTTATGCGACCCTCGCGCATCCTTTTCGCTCGGAAGGAGGGGTGGAATATGCCATGCTACCCTTGGTGGGCGCGAGCGGTGAAACTTCCGGTGAGCTGCTATTGGGTAAATCCGAGTGGAGGCCCGTTCCCCATTCGATAGGGGTCGGCTAGTGGTCCAGAGACGCACTCCAAAAGTACCAGAGGGCTTCTCTAGTGGGTCCTAGGGCCGTTCGATTGGCCTCCGGGGCTCGGCGCCTTCCTATGGTGGGATCCCATTCGGAGAACTCCCCGCTGGTCTCGGACACAACTTAGGGCATCCTGAGTGATCACTTGCTCGGGCCTCGGCCATGTACGGGCTCGCCCATAGCTGTCCCTGACTCTGTTGTCCTGGGGTGGCTATCGAAACCCTCGGGGGTCCAGCCTTCGAACCCCTGGACTATAACGGGCTCGGCGCCCGGTTCCTTAGTCTAGAAGTAATCGGCTGGGGGAATATTCCCCTCCCATCGGCTGACAACGGCAAGCGCGCCCTTTGAGGCGGTTTCTCGGGGCCTGCTGTTGCTGCAGTTGGATGGGATGCGGTGTCAGCGGGCAGGGCATAACCGTCCGTGCGATTAATGGGGAAAAGGTGGGCGCGTGGGCGGTGGAATCGGATCTGGATTAACTGTGCCTGGACTCGAGGGAAACTTCCCCGATTTCATCACCTGACCATTTCGTCCTTTCCCTGCATAAATACGAAACGAGTCTCGCCTCTCCCCTCCTTACCTTTCCCGTACTTGCCTTTTCTGCCTTCGAGCCACTGCCAAGAACAGAGAGCGCCGGGGAGAAGAAGGGAGAAGAGCGAGCGAGAGAGAGAGAGGGAGAGAGAGAGACTTACCGCTGTAGCCCTCCTTCTCCATCACACAATGGCCGACGGCCCTCCTGTCATCCTCCCGGTGGATCCCTGGGAGCCATCCGATGTGTTTGTGGAGGTGCTGCAATCGCTCGTCGATGACGGCCTTCTCCGTCCGATCACCGACCTCGATAGGCTGGAGTGGGTTGCTCCATTGGGCGAGCCGGAGCCAAGGCCGCGCGAAGGGTACGTCGTGAGCTTCATATCTTTCCACGAGCGTGGTCTCGGTGTGCGGCGGACCGATTCATGCGGGCGCTCCCGCATTACTACGGGGTGGAGCTACACAACTTCAACCCCAACTCCATCGCGTAGGCGGCTATTTTTGTCGCCGTCTGCGAGGGGTATCTAGGGATTGCCCCCCATTGGGAGCTGTGGCTCCATCTCTTCCGAGCGGGGCATACCACCAAGCCAGCGGGTACGGCGGGCACGAGGAAGATGATGAGGGCCAGCGGCTACACTCTCTAGGTGCGCCAAGATTGGTAGCACCTTTACATCCCAGCCTAGC